ATAACTTCCTCAAATCATCTGGGTTACTTTCACACTTGACTTCACGCTCTGGAGCAGCTCTAGTAGCACAGTTGTCATTCTGGTCCTGAATGTTATGATAGAACAAAAGTGTAAATCTTCTTGAACTCAGTGCCCTTTGGAGGACAGGGTGATGAGATACAGTTTTTCTTTTTTAGATCATTTCTTTCTATAATAATTTGGGTGTTCAAACTCTCTGTGGGCTTCCTTTAAAAAAAAATAACCCAACATCTTTCTAATTATTTTAGAACAGAGCTGTGGACTGGAGAGATGGCTCAGCTTAAGAACACTGGCTATTCTTTCAGAAGACCTGGGTTCGAATCCCAGCACCCACATGGCAGCTAACAACTGTCTGTAACTCCAGTTCCAGGGGATCCAACAGCCTCTTCTGTCCTCCATGGGCATTGAGCAACACAGGTGCACTTACCTACATGCAGACAATACACACATACACATAAAATGAAAATAATAAAATATTAAAAAAAAGAACAGATCTATATTCTAAAACATAGATCTAAAACAAGAAAACACCTCCTTACCCTGTAGGGGTATCCATAGCCTGAGCCTGAGTCCACCTCTACTGTGGAAAGCCTGGTAGACGGGCAGGCAGGAGTTTAGAAATAGTGGCACTTGGACTCCCAGTGGGATGTGAGTGTGTGTGTGTGTGTGTGTGTGTGTGTGTGTGTTTGTGTGTGTGTACACGTACATATATGGGTGCTCATGTGAATGCATGTGTGTGGAGGCCAAAGAACAAACTCTGGCATTGTTCTTCAGGCACCCCCCCCTTTTCTTTTTTTTTGAGATAGGGTCTCTCACTGGCCTGAACTTGCCAAGTAGGCTAGGCAGGATAGTGACTGAGTCCCAGTGATCCACCTGTTTTAGATTTCCCAGCACTGGGATTACAGCTGTGTGTGCCACCGTGCCTGGCTTTTAAAATTTTTTTTTAATTTTTATTTTGCATGTATAAGTGTTTTGCCTGCATGTATGTAAGTGTACCTGTGTGTGCAGTGCCCATGGAAGCCAGAAGAGGGCATCAGATCCCCTGGAACTGGAGTTAACAGACAGTTGCAGTTGTTAGCTGCCACATGTGCTGGGAATCAAACCTGGGTCCTCTGCAAGAATAGCAAGTGCTTATAACCGCTGAGCCATTTCTCCAGCTCCCAAACAGATTCTAGGGATTGAGCCCAGGTTCAGGTCCTTTCTAGGCAAGCACTTGACTTTCTGAGCTGTCTCCCAAGTTCACCAGGTATTCTTATGAGCATTGTCCTATTAAATCCACACAAGTGCAAAAATGGTAGAATGGACCCCATTTCTGACTAGAAAATTTTCTCTGAGGTTACTCCATTTATGTGAGTCACTCCTCTGGCTAGTGAGAGGTTAGGCCCAGCTTCAACCTCAGCCTGATTTCAAGCTCCTGCTACAACAATCCCACAATTTTGTGAGTGTAAGCAACACCCACATCACCCTCAGCACTTGTGGAGGGCAGTAGATGTCAAGGTCTAGTCCAAAATTTCTTCATTAGAAACATAATGGATCTGTTAAGAGTGAATGAATTGGGGCTGGAAAGCTGACTCAGTGGTTAAGAGCACTGGCTGCTCTTGCAAAAGACCCAGATTTGGTCCAAATGACTGCTAACAACCATCCATAATTCCAGTTTCAAGGGATCCGACACCCTGTTCTGGCCTCCATGGGCATTGCATAACACACAAGTGCACTTACATACATGCAGGCAAAGCACTCATACACAAAGTAAAAATAAATAAGTAAATTTTTTGAAAGTTAAGAGTGAATTAATTAGCCCAGAGTGATAGCCCAGGCCTGTAATCTCAGCACTGGGAGGCTGCAGGCTGCTGAGGTGGGAGGTTTGCAAGGCCTGAGCTACATAGTGAGATCCTGTCAAATACCCCCTCCCCCTCAAAAAAAGTACATGAATTGCAAAATCTAAATTTGGTTGCTAAGTCTGGGAACTGTAAAAAAAAGGCAAGATTTTCTTCAAGTCAAGAAGTGAAAGAAAAGCCAGATGTGGTGCCGCACCCCTTAAATCCCAGTACTTTAATCCCAGGTGAATCTCTGTGAGATTGAGGCCAGCCTAGTTTGAGTTCCAGGCCAGCTGGGGCTACAGGAAGACCCTCTCTCAAAACAAAACAACAAAGAAATTGTAAAGAAAAATCCAAGTGACCTCTTGTTGGAGAATCCCAGCTTCATCCAGCCCCCCCGCCCCCCTGCTGCCTGCCAACTGGCTCTCACCCAAAGAATAAGATTTTGGAGTTTCCCCCTCCAGCTCTATCTCTAGCGAAGGAGTTTCTCTGTGATTTCAAGTCCTTTGATGGAGATGTGTGCCTGGAGAATGAGCATTTTGCCTTCCATTTTTCTAGATAGGCTCTATACTAGCACCTATCAGGTGCTCTGCAGGGTAGCTTGACCTGCGGGGGGGAAATGATGGTCCTGGGGTTCAAATCTCATCCTCAGTGCTTATTGGCTGTATAAGTGGTGACAGGCACTTAACCCTTTGTTCCCAGTTGCCCATCTGAAAAGTAGGAGGCTAATACCTACCTCGCAGGGTGGTAGGGAATTTAAGTAAGACAGCCCACACAGCATTAGTCTGGGGCCTGGCACAGGGTGAGCACTTTATAAATGGCCGTTGTACTCATTATCTGTGTGAGCCAAGGAAGGGGCCAAATGTTCTGCTAGACACCGGAAGTCAGATGGGACCTCAATGTGGGTTGGATTGGCTGTACTGAGGGACTCGCTAAGGGAGGGCCTAGGGATATTGGAATCAAGTCACTCAGAAGATCAGGGCTGATCTGACTTTAAGGCAGATGGGCAGGCTCAGGCCCAGGAGGTGTGGAGTCATATGATCCAGTCTCCAACAGTCTGGAGCCTCATGTTGGGCAAGTTGCCTACCTTGACCCCTGGTCAGTGTCCCTACACCTCCCCTACTCCCCAGCATTTCATGGACACAGTTTCATCATAATTCAGTTTGGATCTGTTTTGGGATGAGGGCTGTCTAGTGGGGTGGACATAGGGGGCACAAGACAAAAAAGGACTAGATTATGGGAGACTTAAAAGTGAGATAGTGTCACCGGGTGTTGTGGTGCACGCCTTTAGTCCCAGCACTTGGGAGGCAGAGGCAGATGGATCTGTGTGATTTCAAGGCCAGCCTGGTCTACATAGTAAGTTCCAGGACAGCTGGGGCTACAGGGAGACCCTGTCTCAAAAAGACTAAATAAAAAAGCTGGAGAGATGGCTCAGCAGTTAAGAACACTGGCTGTTCTTGCAGAGGACCCGGGTTCATATCCCAGCACCCACATGGCAGCTAACAACTGTCTGTAACTCCAGTCCCAAGGGATCCAACAGCCTCTTCTGACCTCTGCAGGCATTGCACAACACAGGTGCACTTACCTACATGCAGGCAATACACATATACACATAAAAATAATAAAATATTTTTTTTTAAAAAAGTGATGTAGTGTCAGGAGGCCCTACCCTTTGGAGGCATGCTGAGGTGGGAGTGTGTTCTGAGAAGACACATTCTCCTGAGTCCAGGGCAGGAAGGTAAGAAGGGAGTTGGGGGCCTGAGCCATCAGCTGGGAGGGCCAAAGCCAGTCAGCAGGCTTGGTACCTATGACTCCCAGCAGGACAGAGATTGAGAGGGGGCATTCACAAAGCCTCCAGAAAGATGTGGAGGCTGCTGAGAGCTCTCCAGAGACTGATCTTTGGGGGCAGGAACTGGACCTGGGCTTTGAAAGAGCCCCAGAGGAGTGGCTCTGGACTTCCAACCCTGGATTCCAGCCATGGCCCCTGAAGTGTCCTAGTTTGTCCTCAGACAAATCTCTCTGCCCTCAGTTCTCTGAGCTATAAACTCAGGTCACAATATGTTGGTCTACACAAAGATGGTGAGGAGGTTAAGTAAGGTGACAGGTGTCAAGTACAATACCTGGAGCATAGAAAACGCTTAAAAACTTTTTTACATTGAGTGATTGGCTGATTGATCTTGATTGCTTTTGTGTGCATGCTAACAATATGTATATAGAGATCAGAGGACAACTCGAAGGAATTTGTTCTTCAACCATATGGGTCCCAGGGATCAAATTCAGGTTGTCAGGCTTGGCAGCAAGTGCCTTTACCTGCTAATCCATCTTGCCAACCCAACATAGAAGACTTTTCTTTTCCTTTTTTTTTTTTTTTTTTTTTTTTTTTTTTTGAAAAAAGGGCCCTTTTTTTTTTTTTCTTTTTTTTTTTTTTTTTTTTGTGTGGGTTGTTGGGTGGTGT